TTTCAAACATCAGATTTATAACTTACACGTCCTAATGAATGAGTTTGTTTAAGAAAAAAACTTAATCGTCGTTCATCACCATCATCATGATGTGTAAAACGACTTGTTGCTGATTGTCGTCGAGAATAATCATATAAATCATTTTTATGCAAAGTTTGTCGATATGGACAAAGAAATTTTTTAAATTCTTTTCGAAATATTGGACCCGTTAATGTATATACATAGAAATGTGATGCATGATTTATTTGATGTAAAAGTATAAGTATTATTGTACTTGTCCATAATTGACATGCATATTGTATTTGAAATTGACGAGTAAAGTTTGTACGTAAAAAATCATTGATTTCTGATGGTAATGATAATACAATAAATAATATTGATGTTAATAAAAGAAAACTCGTTAATTGTCGATCTTTTTCTTGACGACGACGACTTCGACGTGTCGATGCTGTACGAGATAGTGTATTGTGTTTTCGTGTTAACCGTATTATTATAAATGTATTACAAATAGATATAATTAAAAATGGTATTAATACAGTTTTAATTATATCAATATATGTATCATAATGATGAACATAAAAATAAATATATTCGATTGTTGTTGGTAAACATAAACCATTTTGATCAACACGAAAACCATAAAGAAAATGACTATTGATTAAACTAAATAGAAAAATAACAAAACCAATTAAAAATTTTGCTACTGATTTTCGACAAAAACGATAATGTGCAGTTCGATATGATATTAATACACAACGATCAATAGCAGCTAATGTTAAAAGATAATTTGATATATCTGTTGATGCATAAATAAGAAATATAATTGTTTTACACATAAATGAATTTGATAAAAGTTGTATTCCATAACCATAAAAAAGAAGACATTCTATAATATAACCATATAATACACAAATATCGCTTACATTTAATGCTAAAAAATACATTGAACATGAACGTGAACGAAGTGCTTTACGACTAAATATAATTATTGATAGAAAATTACCAATAAGACCAAGTATAACTGTTAATGTTCCTGCATATCGTAGAATAAATGTAATATCAAATATACATTGTGTTGTATAATTAGATGAACTATTTCTTTCAAGATACATTATTAATGTAGTTGACCAATTTAAAGAAGCCATTAATAGATAATAATGTACTATTTTATATTCTATAGAATAAATCAAAAGAATAAAAATGAAATGATTCTTTCTATTTTCTATTCTTAACAATAATCGGATTATGAATTAATTTTGGAACAGTTATTATTATTATAGATCTAAAATTAAAAAGGAAATTAGAGTAATGCATATTATCACAGCCAGAAGTCGTTTTTTCTTCAGAATTCTCGTCTAAGATTATGTTTATCTAACAGACATCTTTCGACTTTTTGACACATTATTTAATGACATGTAATAGATGTTATGTCAAGAAAAAAGAAACACTATGTAATGATGTTTATATCTGTTCTTTTTTTTCATTGATTAATATATCCGTTTTTTAAGACATACCTTGAAAACATAACTAAAAGATCAAAACAAGTCATAACTATGAATATATGTTTATCTTATAAGTAGAATAATTCATATAAATCAATAAAAAATATGACAAAAACATATCGATCTTATTTCTTTATCAGAAGGTTATGTATTGAGAACATATATTTTGTTAATGTCATCATCTATTTATTTTCTATCATTAATATATAAAATTCAATGAAGAGTCTTAGGAATTACGATAACATTATATAATTTAGATATAAGAAAAAGAAAGTAGTGCTTATACAGTTCGATAGATTCACAATTTCTTAATTCATTTTTCGAATAAATAATTAAAAAAAAATAAATGTCATGAAGTTTTCGATAGAGTTCACCTGGTTAATAATGACTTGGATGTTTTTTCCAGTTTCATGATTATGCGAAGAAAAGTTTCTAGCTCCTGTGACCTTAATGGAAAAATATGTGTGACAAAATAGATGGAAGAAAATTAGAAATATCTTTCATGTTTCTCACACAAATGATGTAAAGTGAATGAAATTTATTCTTTTCTTGATTATATATTCTTACTTTTGATAGCTGCGTGTAGACAAGAAAAAAAAAGAAAGTATAGGTTTTATTATTATAGAGAGAACTCAATAGATAAAAGGGGTTTTTACTGACACATTACAATGAAAGAAAGATCTACAATAAATGTTAGCATAATTGAAGCTCGACAACCAACAGATAATTTCCTTTTCTTTCCTTCAAAATTTCTCTTGTTCATTATAAATACACCCTCAAATAATTTATTCAGAGTTGTTTTCGCCATTATTAACAATTAAATCTAACATAAAGAGTGTCTCAAAAGTCTATAAGAAAAAGAATAATTCTTAGATTCTAAAGAAAGAAATTTTGGTCATAAGTAGGTCAGAAAGATCTTTAGAATAGACTGAAATTTTCAGCTCGAACAAATGTTCTTTTTCTGAGTTACTCTGTTTTATTCTCACAGACTTTTGAGACATCGTGTATGCAATTAATATTCTAAACGAATTTCTATCTACTATTATATATGATGTAACGAGTAACTTGTATATTCACAGTACTCACTATTTAATGTTGAGTTTTTTTATAACGACGTAAACAGAAGTTCTTTATATATAGTTTCTCTTACGACGTCAAATCTATGAGTTGTTTTTTGTTCGTTCTAAGAACATTGACAAGAACAACATTAGGTCAATTAATATTTAGACATTTAAGTAAATCAATCAAGTGGCAATTGGATAGAGCAATGATATTTAGTATTGCGGGGTAATAAAAAAAAACAAAGGTTAGATTTGTCAGGTAAAACAAAATTATTTATCTTGTGAACCATACTTTCACGTAAAAATTGATTTCCCTAGCACGAGAATTTTGTCAGATAAATGTTATTGTATTCCGCATAAATAAAACTTTGATAATAGATTTTTGATTTGTTAAATAATAAATATAACAACACTTAATATCTCATCGGAAATCTATTGATAATAAACTATGAGTAGAAACGATTTTCGTAAAGAAGAATATCTTCATTGATGAGTACGACGAATAGATAATTGTATTACATTATTGAAAAACAAAATTTCATTTACTAATTATTTAGTTTGTCAAGAGTAAACATAGAGAATATAACTTCGAATTATATATTCGATTATTTTATATATAAACTTGTACAATCGATAAGTTTAATTAATACAAGTACATTCGAAAATACGATTTAATTTGTACTATTCCTACTTCAAATTTTATGAAGTATCACTTCTTTTCTCTTCAATCAATCATATTTTTGCAAGACTAGAGTTATTGATAGAACTCTAATTTCTTAGACAAACAAACGCTTGATTTGAATTGTAAAATATGACATTCGAAGTTCTTTAGCTATGGAATATACTAATATTCTACAATATCGAAATTTTATTTATGTCAAAGAAATTATTTTATATATCGACATAAAATCTAATCAAACAGACATGAATAGAATATTATAATTTGAATCGAAAATATCTGTTTATCTATATAAAATAGTTGTTTTTACTCTTGAATTAAATTCTTGTTATTTTTTTTAAACGACATCTGTTGAATTAGTAATTTGAACATGAATTTGATTTTTTTTTTAACTCGACAATTTCTACTAACAACAGTAAGAGTAATGGTTGATACGTCAAAATGAGTCAATAATGAAGACGAAAAGACATGCTATATGATTCTATTTTTCTTTTCTTTCTTCAAAACTCAACGACACACAATCATGAAAACAAGAGGTGGAAGAAAAGAGAAACCCGTAAGCATTACATTCGTTTTTTTAAAATCTAGGTGTTTTTGATAAAAAAAACGTTTTTTATTAAATTTTTAAGCAACTCTATAGCCATATTGCTTCGGCTATAATACCAGTAACTAGTATAATTGCTGTTCCATCAGCTGTACAACATTTTCCACAACAAAAAATACATCCACAAGAAGAATGGGGTCCGTTAGCATCGACTCTTCTTCGTGCTTCTTTTACCGGTCAAATGCTTATTCCATCAGCAAATTTAAGTTCTTTAAATCAAAGTAATGATGATGATGATGGTGAAAATAATTATCAGCCATCGAAACCACGAACAAGTATTGGACGAATGGATGCAAGTACAGATGAAGATGAAAGGTAATAATAAAATTAGTTTTTTTTCTCATTTATAATGTGTCATCTATAGTGATGAAGATGGACATAGACGTCAGAGAACAGCTCAATCAACTGCTGTTAGAAGTGTAAGAATATTATTTATTACATTTTAATTATCAACATTCTATTTAATTGTAGACTTCATCTCGATCAGCATCATTGTCCGATGCTGAAAAACGTCTTTTTGGTCATATTACAAATGATGAAGGTAAGTTATATGTGAAAATTGAATAGATTTTTATATTAAATATTGACTTTGTATTGAATTACAGTTGAACATGGTCTTAGTTCAACAATACGTTCAGATACTAAGCAACCACAAAACGCTGAGTCATCACAATCGACATCAACAGCAACAACAACCAATGTTTGTTTGCTTTTTTCTTAATTAAAACTAATACAATTTTTATTCAATAGGATAAAGAATTAAAACGAGCAACTGTTACTATTACACGACAACAGGTACCTAACTTAATTTTGAATCCAGCACCCAGTCAGTCAGGTCCAACATCTGCTAGAAGTAATAGTCAAGTAGATGTAAGTTTTTTACAATATTTTCTTTTTGTTTCGTGATCTATTTTTTTTTGCTTCTTCAAGGGTATTGATGGCGAAGCGAGATCAATAACAACAGCACGTTCATCTCTTAATGAAAGTACAACAGTACCAATTAGTGCTCGTTCTGTTTCATTTAAAGAACCTGTTATTTATGAATATGATTCGCCATCATCTACTACTATTACTACTGTTAATCGCGGATCTGTTCTAGATAAAATCGGTAGATAAATATTTTAATATAAATTTATTATTTTATACATATATCTAATTAGTAATTCCACCACCGGAAGAATATCAACAAAATTCTTATGAACTTGAAAAACGTAATCAATTATTGAATGATGAAATTCAACAATTACGATTAAATAATCAAGTAAAATAGAGATTATTTTAATATTTCGATACAATAAATAAATGAAATTTAGAATCTTCAAAAACAACAAGAAGAATTACTTAATCGTTTACAAACATCACAAAAACTTTCTCAACGCGAATTAAATGATCTACTAAAACAAAGTGGACATGGTAAATTGTCTTCCTCATTCTTTTCGCTATGATTATTTTTTGTTCTAATTAGATCAAACAAAAAATCTTGAAAATTTAAATCAAACATTACAAAATCGTTGTGATCAATTACAAAATGAATTAATTTCACTAAGAGAACATTATGCACAAGGTTAATAATCACAAACAAATATATTTAAGTTTCTTTTAATATTTCGTTTAATTGTAGATCAAGGACAATCAAGTGCAAGAGAACTTAAAAATGAAAATCATTTTCTTAAAGATTATATTCATCGTTTAAATGCTGCTACTAGTGAATATCAAACACTTCATCCACCAGATGCATTAAGAACAGATATGAATGTTCGTATTTGTTAATTTGAACTTCTAAAGAATAGAGAAAATTCGTTTCAATATTTAAGTATTTTATGTTCAAGATTATTATTCTATTGTAAAATGAACGAAAGTAAAAAGAAACAACGATACTTCATATTCCTTAAGCAAAATTTCAAGTATGAGTAGAGTATAGTTAAAGTATAAGTGAAGTCGTGCTTTTTCCTTCTCTCCCTCTATGTAAGCATTTCATAGTGACAACATATTGAAGCCTATTAGAGTCGAAATAAGTTAATATTGTCTCGATCAATTGCATAGTTTTCCTATTCTAAGCTTATTTGTTTGTTATTATATTGATTTAATTTTAGGATATTTTTAGCAGAAGTCAAATAAGATTTAGTTTACACAAAACATAGAAATTATGTTTTGACTGTTATGTAAGATTTATGATTGGAAGTTCTTCTATCTTAATTTCTTACTGATAATATTTAGTAATACGTTTTTTCTATAAACTCTACTTCATTAATTTTCCTAAATAGAATCAATAGATAATTGAAACGATGGTTTTTTTTCGCATGGAAAGGAATATAGGTCAATTATATTCGAAGTCTATAAACTTATATTACATAGGCACTAATTAGATTACTTGGCGTATGGGTAGAGCATATAAGTTATATAATTAAGAAATCGATTACTAGATCCAAATGAAGAAAAAACTCAAGGAAAAACAGAGAAGACTTTATGCTCATCTTCCCATGCCATCAGAATCGACGATCTTATCGTGATTTAGCACCCGATTAATTGTGAGATTCACTACAATAGGCCAAGATTTCGATAAAAAGTTGTCGGTTAATCGCGATTTGATCGACGATTATTTTTGAATGAAAATATAATCATCATAGATGACAGAATTTTAATAGACTAGATAATTTAACATCATCTGATACTGCACTATCCATGCCACCGAAACTCCGGAAAAAATTGGCGATATAATCGTCGCTTTTTATTAAAATCGCGATTCACCGCCCAAACCTTGGAGATTTTGATGACATGAGTTTGCATTAGTATCATAAAAAATAAAATAATATTAATATTTTCTCAATATATTCATTAAACTTTTTTTATATAGAAAGATCAAAAGAAAATGCAAGGCTTACCAATGAAAGGACCATCACCAATATGGCTGGTATATTTTCTATTGTTTATTTTTTTCAGTTTTAATTCATATTTTATTTTTTTAAGCTTAATCAAAAATTTCTTGCTCCATTATTTGTATGTTATGATGAAAAATTACATGAAAGAGAAGAATTTATTAAGAAACTTCAGGTAAATTAATTTTTGAAGTTAAAATTTCGAAAAAAAAGAATTTTTATTAATTAGAATCAACTTAATGATTTACATACTGAAATGAAATCAATAACAAATGAAAATTTATCATTACATGAACGAATTGCTCGTACATCATCAACAATAATAAATCAAAGCACAACTCATTTACCTGATATGTAAGAAAACATTTTTTTTTGATATACAAAAAAATTTCTTTGTCTTTTTGTTTGTAGGGAGAATATAAAACGACAAGCTTATCTTGTTTTAGAAGAAAATAAAGTTCTTCAAGAACAACTTAATTTACAAACGAATCGTTTAAATGATGTACAAAAAACACAAATTCAAGAAGGTAAAAGATTTTATTTGGTTTTGAATAAAAGAAAACAATTTTATCTTATTAGTATCAAATTTAACTCGACGTTTAATGATTGTTGAAAATGAAAAAACTGAAGGAGATCGTACGTTAGCAACAATTCGAATAAAAAACGAAGAATTAAGAAAAAAATATGAACAATCAATTATTGATGGTGATCATCGAATACATGTAGAAGATCATGTTAGAGAAGTAAATGAAATGAAACGAATAACAGGTAGATTTTATTTATTATTTTATTCATATTTATTCGCCTTTTCTTTATTAATAGATGAATTAAGTGAAAAACATGCTAGCGAAATGCAATTACTCCTCCGTCGAGTACAGGTATATCAAATAAATAGTATTCAAATATAAGAAGTATTATCTGTTATCGAATTAGAGCAGTAGCGGATCTAGGATTTTGGGAAGGAGGCGGGGCGATACCTAGAGAGGGGGGAGCGATTTTGGCTAAAAGCTACTTTTTGAGTCCAATCGAAGTAGTGTGAACCTATTTTTGCTGTAAAAAATCAAAAAAAAATTCGGAAGGAGGGGGGCGATGGGTGTGATCGCCCCCTTAAATCCGCTACTGAATTAGAGTTAATGATGTATTATTTAATATTTTGAATTTAGTAATAGGTCAATACTAACGTTTATGATTATTAGTAATAGAACTATCTAATTCTGTTTTGACAATCATAAGCATTAGTCTTAAGCTAATGCTAATTCAATATTAATTTATTCGAATATAAAGTCTTAACATTTCCTAATCCATAATATATGCTCGACACTATTTATCTATTGACATTTAGTCGCATTGTGAGATATAGAAAATAGAAAATAGAAATAAAATTATTGAAGAATAGTTTTCATGAGTTATGGTATCAATCAAAGGCAATGGTTCAGAAGATCGGTAAAATATAAGCATTTAAAATAGGATTCAAGATCAAACCAAAAAAGTTAATTTTGCACATTGTTTGTTCTGACTTTCCATAGTTAATTAGAATGAAATATGATGTCTGTGTAATCTCTAAACTTCATAAACATCTATAAGTGATTATCCCTATCTGGGATAATGATTACAAATCTTTTTTTCTTCAATAATCTAATTTTAATAATTGTATGCCATGCTAATACTACCAATGAAGTATTATATTATCTATAGAGGATTGTTTTTGTATAGGATAAGAGTCGTTAATTTTGTGTGTTCGTTAATAATAATATCTATTTCGATTGAAAATAGGATGCTGAAGCTGCTAAACGAACAGCTCAATTAAAATTAAGTGAAAATCGTAGTGATATGGAACGATTAAAGAATGATATAAAAACGATAAAAAAACTCAATCAAAAATTACAAATACGTGTGCAAACATTTGAAAAAAAACTTGAATTACAGCAAATGAAAGAACAACGAACAACAGCAATGCTTGATAAAGCTCATGAAGATGCAGAAAAATATAAATTAGAACAAGAAGCTTATTCAATATTAGTAAAACTAAAGAATTTTATAATTGATTGAAAAAAAAATATATCTATATCTATAGGCTAAAACAAAAGAAGATGAAATGAACAAAACAAAAGAAAGAATGCAAGAAGAAGGAAAGAAATTAAATGACCTTGAAAATCGTCTTGAAAATTATAAAAGTAAAAATAAAGAACGTACTAATGAAGTTCAAGAACAGTAAGTTTATTTTTTCCAAAAAAAATTCTATATCTATTATTTTAAAATAGAATAAAAAAACAATATGATACTTTAAAAGTACGTTGTTCAGAATATGAACAACGTATTAAACAATTGATGACTTTAGTCAATGAAAAACAAATTCTTATTGACGATTTAAATTCAGAAAAACGGTAAATAGAAATAATGAATCTATAGAAATTCTTTTTTGTATTTATTTGTTCTTTTTAGTAATCTTGAAGTGGATCTTGAGACAATATGGCAAACAACAAATGCTGATAATAAACGTATGCTTGAACAGTTACATGAAATGCGTGTAACGAGTTAATTCGATATATATGCAATTCATTCCTGTGATACAAACGATAACAATGAACAGTATATTTTTTATTTATTATGATAATTGTACTTCATTCAATTCTTTTGTTGTTGTTTTATGAAAGATATGAAAACAAAATATATATTTATAATTTCTTTAGGATTGATAATTATTTTTATTGCTCACGCGCGCGCTCCCTCTATCCCCCTCTCACATTTGTGTTTCATTTTGATAAAATAGTGTTACAAAAAAAAGAAAAAAAAGAAATGTAGGCTTTTTTTATATTATTTTCATTCGGCACGACGAGAATTAAGACAATCGTAAAATGGAGATAATTTACCAAGACGTTCTTGAGATTTTAAAAACCATAATGGTTTATTTTCACATGGATCATTTTTGATTAAACCTTTATAACGAAAAGAACCTGCTTTGACAGATTCACCTTCACCATTATTTCCAGCATCATTATTATCGTCCCATGTGTCATAATAACGCTTACGGTTCATAGTTGACGATGAGTGATGAATCGCAACTATTGTAAAAAAAAGAAAAGTAAAGATGGAAAATAAAATATAGAATTTAATTAATTGTTAAAGAAAACTTACCGATGACAACAAATAAAATGAGTAATAACGAAAGTGTTTGTTTCATATCTGCTATGAATAAAATCAAAACTTATTAATCTAAAATGAAAGAAAAATCTATGCTAAATACTTTCTCAATTCATTTTTCATTCGATATAAGCAATGAAGATGTTATACAATAGATCAAAACTATATACTAATAAAAATTATTCTATTTATAACTTTCCTTCGTGCATACGTTTAACATAATAATCCATAATGAGACTGTAGTAAAACTTGTCAAATTTTTGTATGACAAAAATAGCAGATGTAAATGAATTCGAAGAATATCCTAAAATCTATTTTGAAAAAAAAATGTGGAATTACTATTATACAGATAGAATAAGTGCGATTCGGATCTGCTGTTTTATATACTCGATCTCATTTACTTCGTAGAACTTCTGCACGCAAGTCGGAAATATTTTTCTTTTTTTTCTCTATTTCTATTAGTTATTTGCCTAGGAAATTCTAATTCTAATAATATATCGTTTTCATATCTGTCCGACTCGGCAAAATCGTTATTTTTTCTTTTTCTCGCTCATCATGATTGACTATAGAGATGAAAGTTATTGTCTTATTTTTTTCTTCTTCTTACAATCTGCCGAATTCCAGTTTGTTTTTTGAACATCATACACATGCTCAATCGAGTTTTGGTGCTTTTGCGTGCATGGATAAACGGCTAATTTTTAATGCGGAGAATATAATAGAAAAAGAATGGATGTGAACTATTAAATTAACATTTTGGAGGCATCTTTTCGACAGCGGCTTGTTTTTTTTTGTCTATTCGAAGAAAAAAAAGAACGTCTGTAAATATGTCAAACGTAAACATACGTCCATCTATTTAGTTAGTTTTCATTAATAATAAAAAGAAAAAGACATATAAAATCCTAGTTTGTCTATCATTAGAATATTTCAAATTTTCGAAGTAAATAATCGTCATCATTTTTCTTCCGAGAAAAGAAAAGTACTCTCATGATATAAAATATCTATTTAATCAAACGAATGCATAATTGATAGTCAGAAGGAAACAAAATAATAGACGATAGTTCATTGCCTTGACTATAACTAATCATAGCTAAATCAAGACGAGAATATGACATTGAACGGATTAAAAAAATGCCGAACAAAAGCTTAATTATGATATCTCATGCATTAATCATAATATTTTTGCATATATTGTAGACAACTTTCACATGAGATTTAGATAGATAGAAAAATATATTATTTATTATGAGAAAATAATCATGATTTTTCTGTTCTTGCTCATAAAAAATTCATAATAAATTTTGCACTGAACATCTAAAGAAAAGTTCGATTTTTATCTCAGAAGACGCTTTTATTAAATATAAGATCCATTGGGTATATAAAAAAACTATTATTTTTGTTTATTAACTTAATTGTTTATCTATGAATACAATGAACTAA